ACAGTTTTCATTGTATAAGTCCTTCACATCCCTGGTTAGATTTATTTCTGGGTATTTTATTATCCTAGATGCTAATGTAATGGAATTGTTTCCTTTATTTTCCTTTCAGATTTCCCATTGCTGATGTATAGACATTCAACTGATTTTTGTTTGTTGACCATATACCCTGCAACTTTATTAAATTCCCCTATTAGCTCTAGAAGTTTTCTTGTGGACAATTTGCGATTTTCTATATGTAGGATCATATCATCTGTGAAGAGAGATAATTTTACTTCTTCTTTTCCAATCTGGATACTTTTTATTTATTTTTCTCATCTTATTGCTCTGGCTAGGACTTCTCATACAATATTGAATATAAGTGGTGAGAGCAGGCACCCTTGTCTTATTTCCAATTTCAAGGGGTCGAGATCTAGTTACTGACAATGGATTATTCGATAAGTCACCCAAAGCACTAGCAGCAAAAGAAAAAATAAATTGGATTTCATCAAAATTAAAAACTTCCGTGCATCAAAAGAATTTATCAACAAAGTGAAGAGACAAACTACAAACTGGGAGAAAAATTTTGGGAACCATATATTAGATAAAGGTTTAATATCCAGCATGTATGAAGAACTACAATGTAAAAACAAAAAGACAAACAACCTAATCAAAAAATTGCCCAAGGACTTACTAGATATTTCACCAAAGAAAATATACAAATGGCCAATAAACACATGAAAAGGTGCTCAATGTCGCTGGTCATTAGAGAAATGCAAATCAAAATCACACTTCACCCCTACTAGCATAGCTATGATCAGAATAACAGAAACCAACAAGTGTTGGCAAGGACGTGAAAAAAGTTGCAACCCTCATCCATTGCTGGTGGAATTGTAAAATGGTTGCACTGCTGTAGAAAACAGTTTTGTGGTTCCTCAAAAACATAAACACAATTACCATATAACTCAGCAATTTCACTTCTGGGTATAGACCCAAAAGAATTGAACTCAAACAGATACTTGTACACCAATGTTCATTGCAGCATTATTCGCAATAACCAAAAGGTGGAAACAACCCAAGTGTCCATCAACAGATGAATGGATGAACAAAATGTGGTATATACATACAATGCAATATTACTCAGCCATAAAGAGAAATGAAGTTCTGATACACGCAACAACATGGATGGACCCTGAAAACATGCTAAGTGAAATGTCAGTCACAAAAGGACAAGTACTGTATGATCCCACTTACATGAAGTATCTAGAATAAGAAAATGTATAAAGACCAAAGTTTATCAGTGGTTACTATGGGCTGGAGGGAGGGCAGAAAGGGTACTGAGGTTGTTAAAAGTGATGGAAAAATTTGGAAATGGATAGTGGTTGCACAGCGTGATAAAGGTAATTAACGTCACTGAATTATACATGTAAAAAATATTGAAATGGCAAATGTTTTGTTATTCATATTTTTATCACAATAAAAAAAATCACCATCTCAATTATCATTCCCTATTCCTGTTACCTGCTTTATTTTTGTTCCATAGCACTTACCACCATCTAATATATTCTCTTTTACTTATTTACGTATTTATTCTGTCTCCCCCTCCCAGTACTACATAAGGAGGAGCAGCGATTTTTGCTTGTTATTTACCATGGTGCCTAGAACAGTTGCTTGGCTCAAAGAAGGAACTCAGTAAATTGTTGTTAAAAAAATAAATGAAGGTCATACTAGAAGGAACAGCTAAAGAGTCAAGCTAGAGCCTTAAGTTTTTACCTTTGGAAAACTGACACTGGGTTGGGATGGAGTAGATCAGGAAGTAACTGCCTTTCCTCATATACTGTTGATTTTTTAACCATGTAACTCTGTTATTTTGATCAGAGTTTAAAAAAATTATTCTTACACCAAACAACACAAAAGTGTTTTTGAACATTGTGAAAGGGAAAAAAATAAGAACACTGAACACACTATTATGGGATGCTACCAAAATTACTCACATAAATACACTCATGAACTTAAATGGTTTCATTACTAAACTAGAAAAGAATAAAAACAAACAGAATAATCATCTTAAGGAATCAGGAAGAGAATAACAGCAGAAATATAAAAAAGAGGTAGAAATAACGTAGAAAGTAATTATAAAACAACTGTGGTAATTTTGAATTATTTGAAAAAACCATCAAAACATTAACATGTCTGGAAAGTATAATGGCGGGGGGAGGAACCATAACACAAATAAATAATTATGGACAGCTAAAGGGGATGTAAGGAGCCCTGGGTGCAGTGGTTAAAGCACTCGGCTGCTAACCAAAAGGTCAGCAGTTTGAACCCACCAGCTGCTCCACAGGAGAAAGATGTGGCAATCTGCTTCCCTAAAGATTCACAGCCTTAGAAACCCTGTGGGGCAGGTCTACCTTGTTCTATAGGGCTGCTATGAGTCAGGATTGACTCAACTATGGGTTTGAGTTTTGAAAAGAAGATATAGCCACAAATACATATGGGATAACCATATAGTTATGTTTTTTAAATATGAAACCCTAAATGAAATGATGGTTCTCTAGAAATTAAAATTATCTTGAGAAGAAACAGAAAACCTGAACAGGTTGATGACCCCAGAAGAAAATGAAAAAGCTGTCAAAATAATATATTTAAAAGTGAAGTCCAACTCAGGTGGTTTTACGGGAAAGTCTTTTCATTTCTGCCCTGAAATAGTCATACAACTACACAAAGAATTTCTATTAGTGTTGATTCATTTTTTAAATCTTTAAATATTTGATTCATTGGGAATATACTTTGATTTAAGGAATGAGGTGAGAACCCCTGTCCTTACGGATTCTGGTTTCCTCATTCCCTCATCGGCATGTGTGACTTAGGCACGAGGTGAGGCTGGGCTGCATCCTCTTGACCCAAGGTTGACTTAGGTGAGCAGAAGCCACATTAGCCATCACAACACCCATTTCACGACGTTCCACAAAGGCTCTCAACCATGACGCCCCCAAAATAGAAGTAAATACTCCAGACTCCCATTTTTGGAGTCTCCCCAAAGCAAAAAATTGTTTGTTTACATACCGCTGTGGTTTTTAGGTGCCACTGAGTGAGTTCCGACTCATAGGGACCTCATGTATGAGAGAACGAAACACTGCCCGGTCCCGGGCCACTCTCACAATCATTGTTACGCTTCAGCCTACTGTTGCAGCCGCCATCTCATTGAGGGTCTTCCTCGTTTTCCATGACTCTATACTTCACCAAGCATGATGTCCTTCTCCTGCCACTGGTCCCTCCTGATAACATGTCCAAAGTATGTTAAGACATAGTCTCGCCATTCTTGCTTCTAAGGAGCATTCTGGTTGTATTTCTTCCAAGACAGATTTGTTCGTTCTTTTGGCAGTCCATGTATATTCAATATTCTTCGCTAACACTACAATTCAAAGGCGTCAATTCTTCTTCAGTTTTCCTTATTCATCGTCCAGCTTTCGCATGCATGTGAGACGATTAAAAACACCATGGCTTGGGTCAGGCACACCTTAGTCCTCAAGGTGACATCTTTGCTTTTTAACACTTTAAAGAGGTCTTTTGCAGCAGATTTGCCCAATGTAATGCGTCTTCTGATTTCCTGACTGCTGCTTCCATGGGTGTTGATTGTGGATCTAAGTATAATGAAATCCTTGACAATTTCAATCTTTTCTTCGTTTATCACGATGTTGCTTATTGGTCCAGTTGTGAGGATTTTTGTTTTATGTTGAGGTGTAAACCATGCTGAAGGCTGTGGTCTTTGATCTTCATCAGTAAGTGCTTCAAGTCCTCTTCACTTTCGGCAAGCAAGGTTGTGTCATCTGCATAATGCAGGTTGTTAATGAGTCTTCCTCCAACCCTGATGCCCCATTCTTCTTCACATAGTACAGCTTTTCGGATTATTTGCTCAGCATACAGACTGAATAAGTATGGTAAGTTTATATGCTAGAGTAAAAAAAACCACATTCTTCATGTTTAAGGATGTTACATTCAAAATACTTGGATTCCTCCATGAGTCACAGGGTTAGCAAGCTGGGCATCTCATACACACACACAAACACTGACCCTAGTCCAAAGACCCCAGGGTGCATGCGTGTGTGTGCCTGTGTGTGTGTGAGTGTGTGTGTGTCCGTCCCTAGGGAGTTCACAAAGCCACCGCTGCCCAACATGCTCCAAGCAAAAGCTCCTGTGTATGTGTGTCTGGGTGTGTGTAGGTGTCAGGGTGTTTACACCCCACCCCACGGCCTCCGCCTAAACCTCTGAGGAAAGGCCTGTCTGTGCTAAGCCTTGGCTACTTCATGATCTTCAACGAGTTTCTTCACGTTTCTTCTCTCAGGCCTCATTTTTTTCCAACCCATTTTAAATGTACAATTCAATGATTTTTAGTACGTATATTTAAGAGTTGCACAACCATCACCAGAATCCAGTCTCAGAACATTTCCATCACCCCAGGTAGCCTTTCGGAGCCCCTGGAGTATCATCTGTAAAAGGAGATAACATGAGTCTAGCACATTATAGGAGTCCTGGTAGGTCAACAGTTCGAATCCACCAGCTGCTCCTTGGAAACCCTATGAGGCAGTTCTACTCTGTCCTCTAGGGTCGCTATGAGTTGGAATCGACTCCATGGGTTTGGTTTTGGTTTTTGGCACATTGTACGACACCAATAAAATTTTCCTATTACTATGATACTTATTAGTGATGACTATTTTTAGATTATCTTTTCCGAGACACGGCTCAGTCTTACTCCAGGCCCCTTCCAAGCAGGCAAATGCGCCAATCGCCGGGGCTGAGGTGGTTTGGGGCCGCGCAGAGGCGGCCTGGCTACAGGGAAGGCTTCTTGGGGCGTTTCTGCCCACTGCCGCTCCCCAAGGTCCACCGCGGTTATCGCGGCCCGGGCCCGCCAGCCTGCAATCGGGGAATCGGGCCTCTCCCCGGCGCCCTGGCTGCGGCAGGAGGCGCCTCTCCGGGCTGGATTGGTGATGCCTGGACGCTGCGGGCGCCTGCGTAGTGGGGAGGGCCGTGCTCGCGGCGAAGGTCTGCGTAAATTTCTGAGCAGGCCCGGGAGTGTCTGAGGCTGCGGGACGCTGGACGGCAGTGCCATGGCGGACGAGGAGCTGGAGGCGCTGAGGAAGCAGAGGCTGGCCGAACTGCAGGCGAAGCACGGGGTGAGCGTGCCCGCCAGGCCCGTCCCTTGTGGGGCGCCGCCCTCTCCCGAGGTGGAGGGCACGGCCCCTGGCGGAGGCTCTAGGCACCACGGCCGGTGGCTGGCCCGCTGGCCGGGGAGCCTGCCGCTGCCACCCGGGCGGCCGAGGCGGCGGTGCGGCCGGCCTCAGACCCGTGCCCCCGCGCCTTGGGGTTCCAGCGACCAGGCCGTGGATGCCGACCGCGTGCGGCCCCGGAGCCGGTCCAGCCAGGGCCTTTCCGGGACAGGGGTCTGTTGGCCCCAGAGGCCGGCCTCGTACACGAGCTGGGGTCCCAAGCAGACTGCTCAGCCCCCCGGAGTCTCCGCGTCCTTAGCTTTTGGATCTAGCCTTCTTCGACTACTGTCCCTGCTCACGGTCAAGCCAGATTATTTTCTAGAGTTCAGTTGTACTGACCCAAATCGCCAGCAGACATTTTTGAGGGTCTGCTATGTGCCAGGGGTGAGAGGACAGCGGGGAGCTGACGGTTCAGGGAAGGAGCGGGACAGTACACACTAATCACGTACTTAAGATGCTCACGTAGTGACTATGTTTTCAAAAGAAAGGGAGGGGAAGGTGTCAGGGGCCGAGGGGGAAAGTCGCGGGGGAACCGCCGTTGGAATCAGCGTCCTCACTACCGAGGCACATTTTGTTTTCCCGAAGTTGTTCTTACCACATACGATTTCATGTACAGGGATTCCCTTCCCGAATGGTTGGTTGTTTCTGCAACATTCTACTAGATTGTGACTTTAGAAGCTTATCAAAATATCGTAGTAAGGGGACTATTCCGTTGACTTGTGATGGCCCGCTTTTAATTATTTGATAAACCGTGCTTCCCCCTGCAGGAGCCTGGTGCGTATCAGAAACAACATAGAGTAGTTCCTCTTTGTTTCCTCTGAGAAATGACTTGGTTAAAGGGCAAAATAACTTTTTCTTTCAGGATCCTGGCGATGCAGCACAGCAGGAAGCAAAGCACAGGTACGGGCTGGGGCTCTGAACTTCTTGAAGGATGATTTCGCCATAGTCTTTGTCCTTTAGTTATTTTCGTAGGTGTGTGAATCTTAAGTTTGCCTAGTGTAGTGATTTTCCGTAAATCATTATTACCAGAGTATCTTTATTATTAATTTGTTAATTAAGTAAATATGTACAGAGCCCCACAGCACTTAGAACATCGTATTGCAAATACTTGTCGGTGTTCGTTTTTCTGGTAGACTGAGTACCCTTAAGAGGAGCATGATAATACTACCCCTGCATAGGGATATTGTGAGGATTACATGGGTACAATGACTCACACTTAGTAAGTGCTCAATAAATAGTGGTAACTCCTTTTGTCAATATTTTTGCCCAGCATGTGGTAAAGTACCTCACACATGGCAGGTTTGTTGAATGATTATCTGATTACTCCATCATGCCACCTTTTAACTCATTCATTCAGCAAGAATTTATTGAGCACCTCTGGGTCAGGCGCTATGCTTGGTCTACAGAAATTGGCAAGGGAGAGAGTCCCTGTTGTCTGGTTGACATTAGTGGGAGAAGACAGACAGTAAGCACTTGGGATAGTGATAACGGTTATGAAAAAAGTAAAACCACATGAATTTCTTCGATTCTGGGATGTACATTTTAACATCTGAAATTGGGATACGTCTTAGAATCAATCACTCTTGTTCTGGAATCTTCCAGAAAAGATTCACTTTTGCTTCTGTCACTACTTGGGGACATTTCTAACCTGACACCTCTTAAAATTAAATTCTCCACTTGAGATTCCTCCCTCTCTCCACCCACCCTGGTAGTGTGAACTCAGCAGACCTGCAAGGCTAAAGCTTGCCATTCAAGTTCTCAGAGGAACTTTTTCCTCTCTCTTCCTCCACTCAAGGCCAGGGTTAATGTGTGCAAGCTTCCTTGCTGGTGGATTTATTTTGTTTATCTTGTGCTGAGGATGTTGCCCTTTGATATCCCAGCTTTGAGTGGGTGGGTCTCCTATTAGCCACCTCATCTAGGATGTTCTTTCTTTTGTTGTTGTTAGGTGCTGTTGAGTCTGTTCCAACTCACAGTGACCCTGTGTACAACAGAAAGAAACACTGCCTGGTCCTGTGCCATCGTCACAATTGTTGGACATAGATACTGTTGACAGAGACACATAAAATTATGGTGTCTTAGGGTCACATCTTAGATCCCGTGAAGTATGGCAGTAGTAGCTCATGGCGGGTTGAAGTACTCGGGAGAGATAGGAAAGCATGTGGAAGTGTCCATCAGCCCTGGGGCTCCTCAGATGGGGGTGGTTAATGGGCACAGCCAGCCCCAGCTCCCTCTCTAATTCAGCCAGCGCAGCTCTTCTCGTCTGTTTTGTTATTGGGTTCCTTGAAGGAAAGCTTGAAAACCACTGTCCTATGAATGTGAGGTAGTCCCTACTTTTCTTGGGTAGGTAGGAAGTAAGGATAGTTAGAGTTATAATTTCACCCCCACCCCCCAAAGTATATGTGCTAATAGGTACTGTATAGAACTAAGTCTTGAAACATGAGATCTGCTTCTGGCTCTGCCGTGGTTACCCAGGTCTCTCTAACAGAGCCTTCCTGGGTCTCAGCGTCTTTATCTCTAACAAGGAATGACACCGATTAATCTCTTGGTCCTCCTAATTGCTTGAAATCCCACCACAAATTTCTAACACCTGTCACACACTAGGTACTTAGTAAATGTTGGTAGTGATGGTTGAACTGACACTCCACCCTGAATTAGGAAATTTGTAAGTTTTACCTTCCAACCTGGTAGATTTACACCCATATAATATAAAGCTGGCTTTGAGGGCAAGGATGGACTTTGCTGCTTTAATATAACTGCTGCATTCACACAGTACGTGCTGTGTATACAGCAGGCTTCCATCTTGAGAAACTTGGGTTACTTGTTTGTATGTTCAGTAGGAATGCTGACTGCTTAGTTCTAATTTTGCTTCCCTTATGTTCTGTTGTAGGGAAGCAGAAATGAGAAACAGTATCTTAGCCCAAGTTCTGGATCAGTCAGCCCGCGCCAGGTGTAAGCACCTTCAGTTTCCTTTCCATATCGAATAAAATTGGTTTTAGTTAGTTGAATGGGGAGATACGTATGAAATATGTTTAGATTAAATGTTTGTGTAGCCTAAAAACATTTGAAATATAGATTATTTGTAAGAAGTGTGACATTTATAAACCTAGAAAAATGTATTTAAATCGCTAAAAGTACCAGCTCAATTCTCCTTTACTGACGAGATGTTCTCTAAATGCATATTGGGTAAAATTTATAGGAATTTATAGTAAAGTTTATAGGAAACATTAACATTAAATTGAGTCAGTCATAAAATGTTGCTGTTGATGTGGGTGATGGGGGTTTGAGGACCATGTTTTACTGTATGTTTCAAATTTTTCATAATAAAAATGAAAACCATGTAGAAAGGAAAAATAAAAGGAGTCAATCAGATGAACTAGTATCTTCTGTATTATAACTTGAAGCCCAGATTGAATTTAGAAGAGGCAGTACTAGATGAATTACCACCATGGTTTCTCTTTAGCAAAAGGTTTTGGTGCTTTTAGAAATATAAGATAAAAAGCCTCTTGCTCGGGATTAATTGTGTATATCAGGTGAGCTGTAAAGAGCGTTTTATTTACATAAGTTATTGGGTGCCGTCGAGTCGGTTCTGACTCATGACGGCCGTGTGTACAACAGAATGAAACACTGCCCAGTCCTGAGCCATCCTCACAATCGTTAAGTTTGAGCCCATTGTTGCAGCCACTGTATCAGTCCATCACTTGGAGGGGCTTCCTCTTTTTCGCTAACCATCTACTTTACCAAGCATGATGTCCTTCTCTAAGGTCTGGTTCCTTCTGATAACATGTCCAAAGTGTCTGAGACGAAGTCTCGCCATCCTTGCTTTTAAGGAGCATTCTGGCTGTACCTCTTCCAAGACAGATTTGTTCGTTCTTCTGGCTGTCTGTGGTATGCTCAGTATTCTTCACCAACACCATAATTCAAAGATGTCAATTCTTCTTCGATCTTCCTTATTCATTGTCCAGCTTTCACATGCATATGAGGCGATTGAAAACACCATGGCTTAGGTTAGGTGCACCTTAGTCCTTAAAGTGACATCTTTGCTTTTTAACACTTTAAAGAGGTCTTTTGCAGCAGTTGCCCAATGCAGTATGTCATTTGATTTCTTGACTGCTGCTTCCATGGGCGTTGGTTGTGGATCCAAGTAAAATGAGATCCTTGACAGCTTCAGTATGTTCTCTGTTTATCATGATGTTGCTTATTGGTCCAGTTGTGAGGATTTTTGTTTTCTTTATGTTGAGGTGTAATCCATACTGAAGGCTGTGGTCTTTGATTTTCATCAGTATGTGCTTCAGGTCCGCTTCACTTTGAGCAAGCAGGGTTGTGTCATCTGCATATCGAAGGTTGTTAATGAGTCTTCCTCCAGTCTTGATGCCCTTTCTTCTTCATATAATCCAGGTTCTCGGATTATTTGGTCAGCATACAGATTGAATAAGTATGGTGAAAGGACACAGCCCTGACACACACCTTTCTTGATTTTAAACCACGCAGTATCCCGTCATTCTGTTGGAACAGCTGCCTCTTGGTCTACGTACAGGTTCTACATGAGCACAATTAAGTGTTCTGGAATTCCCATTCTTCGAAGCGTTATCCATAATTTGTTACGATTCACACAGTTGAACACCTTTACATAGTCAATAAAACACAGGTAAACATCTTTCTGGTATTCTCCGCTTTGAGCCAAGATCTGTCTGACATCAGCAGTGATATCCCTCGTTCCACATCCTCTTCTGAATCCGGCTTGAATTTCTGGCAGTTCCCTGTCAATGTACTCCTGCAACCACTTTTGAATGATGTTCAGCAATATTTTACTTGTGTGTGATATTAGCGATACTATTCAATAACTTCTGAATTCTGTTGGATCACTTTTCTTTGGAATGGGCACAAATACGGGTTTCTTCAGTCAGTTGGCCAGGTACAGGCAAGCGAGCACTTCAGTGCTGCATCTGTTTGTTGAAGCATCTCAATTGGTATTCCATCAGTTCCTGGAGCCTTCTTTTTCACCATTGCCTTCAGTGCAGCTTGGACTTCTTCCTTCACTACCGTTGGTTCTTGATCGTATGCTACCTCCTGAAATGATTGTATGTCGACTAATTCTTTATGGTACAGTGACTCTATATTCCTTCCATCTTCTTTGGATGTTTATGCATCGTTTAATCTTTTGCCCATAAAATTCAATATTGCAACTTGAGGCTTAAATTTTTTCTTCAGTTCTTTCAGCTTGAGAAATGCGGAGTGTGTTCTTCCCTTTTGGTTTTCTAACTCCAGGTCTTTGCACATGTCGTTATAATGCTTTACTTTGTCTTCTCAAGCCGCCCTTTGAAATCTTCTGTTCAGCTCTTTTATTTCATCATTTCTTCCTTTTGCTTTAGCTATACGTTGGTCAAGAGCAAGTTTCAGAGTTTCTTCTGACATCCATTTTGGCCTTTTCTTTCTTTCCTGTCTCTTAAATGATTCTCTTGCTTTCTTCATGCATAATGTCCTTGGTATCATTCCAAAACTTGTCTGGTCTTTGGTCATTAGTGTTCAGTGCATCAGATCTACTCTTGAGATGGTCTCTAAATTCAGCTGGGATATACTCAAGGCCGTACTTTGGCTCTCGTGGACTTGTTCTAATTTTCGTCAGCTTCAGTTTGAACCTGCTTATGAGCAGTTGATAGTCTGTTCCACAGTCAGCTCTTAGCCTTGTTCTGACTGATGATATTGAGCTTTTCTGTCATCTCTTTCCACAGATGTAGTCTATTTGATTCCTGTGTATTCCATCTGGCGAGGTCCGTGTGTATAGTCGTTTATGTTGTTGAAAAAAGGTATTTGCAATGAAGAAGTCATCGATCTTCCAAAATTCTATCATGCTATCTCTGGCGTCATTTCTGTCACCAAGGCCATATTTTCTAAGTACTGTTCCTTCTTGTTTCCAGCTTTTGCATTCCAATCACCAGTAATTATCAACGCATCTTGATTGCATGTTCAGTCACTTTCAGACTGCAGAAGTTGGTAAAAAATCTTCAATTTTTTCATCTTTGGCCTTAGTGGTTGGTGCGTAAATTTGAATAATAGTCGCATTAACTGGTGTCCTTGTAGGCGTGTGGCTATTATCCTATCACTGACAGCGTTGTACCTCAGGATAGATCTTGAAATGTTTGTTTTGACAGGGATCGCAATGCCATTCCTCTTCAATTTGTCATTCCCGGCATAGTACCATATGTTTGTCTGATTCAGAATGGCCAACATCAGTCCATTTCAGCTCACTAATGCCTAGGATATCGATGTTTGTGCATTCCCTTTCATTTTTGAGAGTTTCCAATTTTGCTAGATTCATACATCGTACATTCCACATTCCTATCATTAATGGATGTTTGCAGCTGTTTCTTCTCATTTTGAGTCGTGCCACATCAGCAAATGAAGGTTCAGAAAGCTCGACTCCATTGACCTCATAAAGGTCAACTCTACTTTGAGGAGGCAGCTCTTCCTCGGTTTTATTTTGAGTGCCTTCCAACCTGAGGGGCTCATCTTCCAGCACTATATCAAACAGTCTTCTGCTCCTATTCATAAGGTTTTCACTGGCTAATCTAGACTGCCAGGTCCTTCTTCCTAGTCTGTCTTAGTCTGGAAACTCAGCTGAAACCTGTCCACCATGGGTGACCCTGCTGGTATTTGAAATACCAGGGGCATAGCTTCCAGCCTCACAGCAACATGTAAGCCATCACAGTACGACAAACACTGGAGACTATTTGTTTAACTCAGGGTTGCTTTCGTAGATATTAGTGGTTAATGTTAACGATGTGCCAGGCTAATTCAATATGTGTAGCAAGAAATAAATTGCTTTCCAGAGGGCAAACATATATTTTTAAAAAACAAAATGACCTGGGGCTTAGAATCTGAGGACTCGAGTTTAATGTCGGCCTTACCCCTACCTTTGTGTGGCCTTGACTAAAACTGACATGGCTGAACTCTAGTTTCCTTGCTTTTAACAGGTCTTCAGACCAGTTCTTCCCAGTTCAGTCATGGCTGAGAAAGCAAAATCAGAACAGACCCAAATTTCTAAAGTTTAGGTGAGCTGGAACAGGAAAATTTATAGGTTGAAGCCCTGCTAGAAACTTAATCTCCCTCTTAGAAAACAAGGACAGCATAGCAACCAAATCTCTTGCCTGCTGGATTTTGAGAAGAGTCGGAAACAGCGGTGCCCCCCTTCAAGATGGCAGCTGACCACCCCACTTTGAATGCGTGTGCCTCTCCGCAGTCCTGCCAGTAATCCAGTCTTACACATCAGGCTCCTGAAAGGGCTCACTACATCTCTTCTGAGTCTCCTGTTCCAGGGCTTCAACCCTAATAGTTATTGTTCTGGCTTACCCAAATTGTAAAAATCCAGGTCTCTTCCGGTTTCGCTTCGTCAGCCAGGACTGAACCAGTTTGCACTGATTTGAAACCCTGGTTTTTAAGAGGGGTAACAATATTGTCTTCCCTACCTCCCTTGATGATTACGAGACTTAAAGTAATGGATGTGGCATGCTTTGGAAATGTCGGTGCGTAGTTTTATAGTATAAGTGCATTTAGTTTTGACACCTTGTGTATATATTTTTTCTTTTAGTAAGTAACTTAGCACTTGTAAAGCCTGAAAAAAGTAAAACAGTAGAGAATTACCTTATACAGATGGCAAGATATGGACAACTCAGTGGGAAGGTAAGTTTCAACTGTAAAAGTAATTCCTCGGTTTTATTTTGGAAGCAACTCCGTCCGCTATTGTTACCTATTTTATCGAAACGTGTCTTCAGAAGTCAGTTTCATCTTCAACTGATTACAGAATTCTTGTTGACTTTTTATAAAGAACTTTTTAAGGAGAGAATAGTTGTACCTACCATAAATCCGAAAGGATAACTAATTGCCCAGCCTGAAACCCTTTGCTTCTCTCCTTTCCTGGCATTGCCATGGAACTTTGTTGGCATCTGTGTGACCCAATGACTCTGAGGGTCAGCTAGCTTCAGTTGCCTCTCCACTGGAAGCGAGGTTTGCCAGTACTACCAATTAAAATACTACCATGTAGGTTTCGGGGGCCATCTAGCTCAATTGGCATGAAAGTGTTTATAATGAAAATGTTCTACATCCTACTTTGGTGAGTAGTGTCTGGGGTCTTAAAAGCTTGTGAGTGGCCACCTAAGATACGTCTACTGGTCCCACCCCATCTGGAGCAAGGGAGAATGTAGAAAACCATAGACACAAGGGAAAGATTAATCCAAAGGACTAATGGACCACAACTACCGCAGCCTCTGCCAGATTGAGTCCTGCACAACTAGCTGGTGCCTGGCTACAACCACCGACTGCTCTGACAGGGATCACAATAGAGGGCCACGGACAAAGCTGAAGAAAAATGTAGAACAGAATTCTAACTCACAAAAAGACCAGACTTACTGGTCTGACGGAGACTGGAGAAACCCCGAGAGTATGGCCCCCAGGCACCCTTTTACTCAGTACTGAAGGCACTCCTGAGGTTCACCCTTCAGCCAAAGATTAGATAGGCCTGTAAAACAAACAGTAACACACATAGTTCAGCCATGTATATGGGAGTAAATGGGCACACCAGCCCAGGGGCAAGGATGAGAAGGCAGGCGGGGACAGGAAAGCTGGATGAATGGAAATGGGGAACCCAAGGTCGAGAAGGGGAGAGTATTGACACGTCACAGGGTTGGCAACCAGTGTTACAAAATTGTGTATTAATTGTTTAATGAGCAACTAAAAAATAAATGAAATACTACCATGCAGATGGGAATTAGGCTTATTTTGCAAATGAAAAGGTGCTAAAATTTCCTTGATTATGGTGTGTTCCCACTGTAAGGTCTTGATGGGTATATTCTGGCAAGCCTGACCTTCAAGATCCAGGCAGTCCAGACTTCCTGGAAACATGGAGGCTAGATGAACCCCCAAAACTACTGCCCTGAGATAATCTTTAAACCTTAAACCAAAAATATTCCTCAAAATCTTAAAACCAAACAGTAGTTCAGCTTAACTAGTAAAGAATGTCTGCCTTGAGCATTGTGCTTTAAAGAACAACTCAAAGATTACATTAGGAAACTTGGGGGCGGCGAGCTTATGTTAATGGAGGAGGGTGAGAATGGTTGCGTAACTTGAATATATTCAGTTTCACTGAATTGTACACATAGAAGTTGAATTGGTTTATTATGTTCTGTGTATATTCTCAACAACAAAAAACAAATTATAAATTTTTTTAAAAAGTGAGATGCATCTTAAAAAACAAAGCATAGAGGAGAAGGTTGGGGGGGAAGGAGGGTAGGTCGGTGGGAAGGGACAACCAGAACGGCGATGAGAACGCTGACACAGTGTGAAGAGTGTAACCAGTCTCTCTGAACAACGGGTAGAAGGCTTTGAATGGGAGCCTGTTTTGCTGTGTACAGTTTGACCAAAAGTACAATATTAAAAAAAGAAAGATCCAGGTGAAGCCCACCTGCACTGTTCTCTGCTGCCACCGCAGCCCCCAGCCGGCAGCCATGCCCCTGAGCCCCTTGCAGGAGGAAGCACTTGTGGAAGATAGTGGTTGGTCTTTTTATGAGCGTGACTTACCTCCAAGGTCGTGTTTAAGCTTCTCAGAGGCAGAGGCGTTTCGTCTGTATCCCTGACAGTTAACATGATGCCTGCTGTGGGTGATTTTAATTTTCTGCTGATGGTGATACAGGTGATTTTAAATGTGTGTTAACTCTGAATTTTCTGAGGTAGCTATTTTATGGATACTTTTCTCCCCGTCTTCTCAAATGAGGAAGAGCAGAGCGGATTTTATTTAGAACATAAAGCAGTAGTGGTTTCAGCCTTCTGTCCCACTATGCCTTCCCTCTTGATCTCCACCCACACACCCCAGAAAGACTGTAAAGGATTAAATCTGAGGAGGTAAATTCTGTGTTTAAAAAGTACTCTTTTTCTTTCTGGTTATCCTAGGTATCAGAACAAGGTTTAATAGAAATCCTTGAAAAAGTAAGCCAACAAACAGAAAAGAAAACAACAGTTAAAGTAAGTTTCCCCAAATGCTCATGGTTTGTAAAGAAAATATTGGACATTTTAAATGCTAAGTGTTCAGTATACACCTATTGTATCAAAACATCCATGCTCATAGACTTTTTCATTTTGTAACAGTGGAAGTTTGGGGAGAAAGGCTGAATGAATATACTGAGGGCGGTCTAAACATAGAAAGTATATTTAAGGCTTTTCTGCCCCCCTCCCCCCATCACTGAGCTGTTTAAAGAGTCACAAAAATGTTTTGCTAAAGTAGGTAGGAATTTTTCTCCTCAGAAAATCTGAGTTATGCTTTATTTAACATGTCATGACACTTGTTTAATTTGCCCCCCAGTTCAACAGAAGAAAAGTAATGGACTCTGATGAAGATGATGATTACTGAACTAAAAATGTTTAGATTGGAACTTGATGGAGCAGTCCTAGGACAGATAATACTGGGCAGGAGTTAAGCTCTGATTAAATGTTTACTTTGTTTATAGTCTGTATATGCCTTTTAAAAAATAAACTTGTTATGCAAAATAAAAAACTGGGACAGAGTTGTTTTAGTACCAAAGCCAAGTGACCGGAAGATCTACATTTTTTTTTCCTTTCCTACCGAAAGTTTAGCACGTGTAGCAGCAAAACTTTCTACAACACATGTAGGTCTGCTCCCGTAAAGATGACAGCTTAGGAAACCCCGTGGGGCGGCTCTGCTCTGCCCTGTGGGATCGCTGTGGGTTGGAATTGACTCGACGGCACAACAACAAAAGCAGCATGAACAGAGTCCCTGGGTGGTGCAGAGGGTTAAGTGCTTGGCTGTTAACTGAAAGGTTGGCAGTTCAGATCCACTCCAGAGGCACCTCGGAAGAAAGGCCTGTGATCTGCTTTTGAAAAATCGGCCATTGACAACCCTGTGGAGCGCAGTTCTTCTCCGGAACACTTTGGGTCGCCCTGAGTTGGAATCTACTAGATGGCAACTGGTTTGGTTTGGTTTTAGCAGCATGAATATATTTGTGCGATTGTGACGTTAGTGTTAAGTAGGGACAATGGCCTTAGCAGAAATAGAAACTGCTAAAGCACTACTCAGTAAAAAGAAAACAAGTTGCTGCTGCATGGATTTAACTAAACAAACTTTTGTATTTGGGCACATCTAATATTTCCAAGACACAGGTCTGAAAGCAAGTAAGCGGTTTCTCTTCCTACAGAGAGAACGGAATCCTGCCATTTAATGTAAGAGAATACCTACGTTTGGTTTTGTTTATAATCTGCCACTGAGATTAAATTATCTAACGAGTATCACCCCCATCAAACTAACCTCTCTAACTAGAGTGATACTTTCACTGAAAAGAAGATTACCAAAATAACTAGGACATACTGGTGATAACACTTCAGAAGTAATAAACGTGTTTGTAAGAGGACTGACTTCTAGTGATTAAAATCCAATTGGGACAGTTAAGAATTTTGGTAGAAATGTTCCAGTTCTTCACTGATACAAGTTGCAAGTGATTTAAAGCAAAATATCGTCGTTTATGTTATGATTTATTTTCACTGGATTATGAAAAACACTAATTTTTCTTATAAATTTAAATCATAAACTTAGCTATTTGGTGTAATTTTTAAATGTCTTAGTCCTGTTGAGTCCCAGCCCAGGAGGAAGTTCCTAAAACACTGAAGATGAATAGGATTAGCGACAGAAAAGTAACTGGAAATGTGGTTTACAATCCCAGTCTCTGCTTCAAGACTGCTAGGATATGCTGCAACTATCCTACAGAGTTCACTGTATTTGAGATTGGAAATGTATGATCAACGAAGAAAGCCAGTGTTGGAATAAGTGTCTAACACACATAAATGAGTAGAACCAGTAAGACCACCAGAGTTTTTTAGAAGAACAGGCCTATCATAAATAGTCTAAAGTAAAATTTGATCAGGAATTTTGAAGAATAAAAATCCCAGTTACAGGTAAATTTTTCTTTAGCCTCATTTACATAAAAATGCCAGAGGGAGACTAGACAACTCTCAGCAAGTTTTGTTACACACTTGCTTTTGCAGAATACCCACCGCCCTAATGCCATCTACCACTGTGAACTTGTTTAAAGATGATCAGACTCCTGAGATACTGAAGAGTCAGAAGTGGTTGTGCATACAGTCATAGAGGATCCTGCCGGCAACACAGGGATAGATTACACTTCTGTCTGCAGAGTGAGTGCTCATTCTAAGCTTTCTCAGTTCTCGGTAAACTGACAATACTCGGAATTCAGAACTTTCTTACGCACAGCAGAAACGGAGGCATTTCCAGTTTCTGAACTGTCTAAGTAGGGAATACAATCGAAAAACACAAGTGGTTTTAAAAAGAATCGAGATAGTCACTTAAGGTGGCTTACGCTACTCATGGCTCCAACAGCTCAAAAAGAGGAAACTGTTCCCCGAAGACTGAGTCCCATTCCCAGCATTTATATCTGCAGATAAAGGGCACACCAAGCTGGGAGCCCCGGATTCAGATGCCACCAGCACCGTGGCCTTTACCCTGGCTCTGAGATCCCAAACAGGTCGGCCTCCTTATTCCTCTGAAGGTTACCTCGCTGACAGTTCAGCTGCCAGGGCGGTTGTTCGAATTAAACAGGGTTGCACGTGGATGCATTTTCAAAATTGCGCTGCACCGCCCACAAAGTCAGGTGGTGTCCATTGTGTGTGTTCGCAGCTTGAAAATGGCTGTGCTGATCAAACCTGGACAGGATAGTTTCCTAGTTAGGATGGTACAGAACCACCACTACTCAAGTCAATACGGTGGTTTTGTTGAAAAGTGAGGAAAAATAAATCAGAACAAAGATACTGGCAAAGCAACAGTGCTCACTTCCTGTGGGGGCTAGGAAGCTGTATTCATTTCTGTTCTTCTGATTTGAAAAGAAACCATTTTTGTGAAGTATTGTAGGAGTCCCTGGGTGGCGCAGTTAGGTGCTCAACTATGAGCTGAAAGGTTGGCGGCTTGAACCCACCTAGAGGCACCTAGGAAGACAGGCCTGGCGATGTGCTTCCAAAAGGTCACAGCCTTAAAAGCCTTATGGAGCAGTTCTCTGCACACGTGGGGTCGCCATGAGGTGGAACTGACTCAGTGGCAACTAACAACAAGCACTGTGGGCCCTACGCACTGTGTCGACTAGATTCTCAGCCCTAGGTAGGCAGATGATAATCTGCTCTGACTGATCAGATTTACATGTTTCAATCACACATGTATAGCTGAAGAATAAAATGTCTATCCATCCCATGGGGAAACATTTTTCCATACACAAAGAACATGTTAATAGCAGAGAGGATGAGAAACTCTTATGTTCACAGCAAAATACTAACTAAAAAAGTATACCACAACACACTCAAGAATCATAAGGTTTACTGTTTTCTTTTCCATCATTTGGCACGTATCCAAGGCACATTCGAAAATTAGAAATCATAAATTACTCTGTAGAAAAATAATCCCTCCCTTCTTTTCACACACAAGTATTTCCAAGAACATGCATAAAACCATTTCCCTATTACAAAGTTATTTGAAAGTGTACTCAGGACAAACCCATGTTTGCTGCTCTAGACCAATTAATAACATAAAAAAATAACTAGAAATTTATAAAAAGGAATTGATGGCAATTAAAGTAACTTTAACCTCACGTGTGCTGCAAGTTTTGAATTAGAATAAAAAGACTAAGAAAAGATGTGCCAAATCTACTGTCTAGTTCAGTAACCATCCTTCAGGTGTGACATTTAAGGGAGGTTCTTAACGGAAAAGGGTGTTTCTAGAGACACTGCTACAGGTGCGTATTTGCAGTGACCAGATATCTGTACTTACTCTGCTGGAAGAAAAACTATACCCAACTTTTCCCATGTACACAGTGTTCCCTAAAATGACCATCAGCGTGACATTTAAGTATCTTTGGGTTCAAGCTTTACAAAGGAACATTTTTCCAGGATCTCTCTTCATTCAGATGTGACTGTTCTGCCTGGCCTCCACATTATCATGAAACCTAAATTGCTTCTCTTCAGCTTATGGTTTGCTAATTTATATGTAGCACAGAGGATTAGCACCTTTCCGTAGAAGGAGGTCAGAATCTGGTGGTGAAGCCTCTCACTGTAACCAAGGAGCCCTAACATTTAAAAGGGAGCACATACCCTGGACACTAGCGGAATTCCCGTCCGTTCCTTTTGAAGTTGACTGATTAGCTTTGAAGAGTAAAGAGACAGTGATACCTTTTTGCTGCATTCTTTCCCTCAGCCACTGTCCTACAGAAAAGTTTTCAGGAATCTTCTGCTTAAGACTTACTCTCTCAGGCCAAGGTATTGGAAGGTACACTTGAGTTCTAAGCTGTATTCACGCACAGCATCTTCTTGTTGAGTATTCACTTCTTGGCGGCAAATTTCAAAATTCCTTATTACTGTTAAACCTGGGAAATACTGGACTCTTGGGGAGTGGTTAGGTTGCCAGCAGCCTCTGGGCCCCTGGATCCAACTGCGTCATTGACCGCGTGTCTGCAGAGCATCCATCTGTTTCCAGGAGCAGTCTGTTTGAGTGCAGGCCTCTCAGGCTGATCCCCTTTTCCTCTGTCAGCAGTTGGAGGTCTGCTCTGGTCTGGCAGGTGATGCAGCTTCAGTGTGGCTCTTTGCCTCCCTGCCTAAAGAAAAGGTACAGTTCAAACAGTTCACGTTCACACAGTCCTTTAAACCACCACCACCACAACAGCTACCTTCTCTGAGTGTTTGGTATGTGCCAAGCATTGTGCTAAGTTCTTTCCAGGCATCGTTTCAATTCTAACGTCCCTGTGGTGATAGTAAGACATTCAAATGGGTACTACCTGTGACAGACACCAAGTAAACACTGTGTTTTCCCATTTAATCTTTATGCCTCTAAGAAGTGTGTATTATTGCTATCCCCAGTTACAACTGAGAAAACAGGATTAGCAAAGTTAAGCTATCTGCCTCAGTAGCAAGGAAAAAGCTAGCACCTGACTGAACCCAGGCAGATTTCGAAGTTTGTAGCTTTCCCACTGTGTAGTAGGTCTGTTAGCAATGCTATGGAAGAAGACTGAATACAAAATCAAAATCAGTCACGTTAATAAATACCAAAGATTTCTAAGACAAAGGTTTAGAACTTCTGTATATTTGTTCAAACAAGCTTACACCACATATGCAAAAAATTCCGTCTCATCAATAGCTATATACACCCACTCTTCCTTATCGACATGGTTAGGTTCCAGAAACCCGGTCGTTACGTGCAAATCAGCGTTATGCAGGAGTCGGGGCTGCGCCCATTCTTCGGGTGCTGGTGTCGTGTCGCCCCGCCCCTAGTTGCTCATTGCCCATCGGGCGCCCCCGGCACATCTTGGGGTGCGCATGGAGCGTCGGGATCCCCTTCCCCACCACTGTGGAGCCCGCTGGGGCTGGGGGTGGTGGTGGTCGGCGGATGCCGCCGCCTCCAAGCAGCAGGGGCCCACCATCTCCCGGCTGCACCTCAGGCCTCCGCGCGAACCCCCGCGCCTCGCCTCTCCACCTTTATGCACCGCCGACCCGGAGATGGGCGGCTCCTGGGCCTGCGGGCAGGTGAGGCCCGGCCACCTCAGCCCAGCGCAGGTGGCAGAGAGGCCTCTCTGGAAGAAGGGACTTCCGAGCCATCCACCGCCTCCTCAGGCCCACCGCCCC